CCCCCTTTATATCTACGCCCCTTTTCAGCATGAAGAAGCCAGAGAGTCGGCATCCAATTCCCAAATCAATAAGACAGTTGGTTTAATTACTATTGGGGGGGGGGGAAACAACAAAAAAACAACTGTAATAACTATAAAGAATTATTTCTCAACCTTATGGCAGAATTTACTTGCAAAATCATTTCAGAGGAAAACCAAACAGAGTGACATTATAGAGTAAAAAGAACCTACTAAACATTATAATTGAATCCACTTATCTTAAACTAGGAAACGGAGCCATTTTATTCCCCTCATAAGTTTTGGAGTAGAAATTTTTATCTAATTTATATGTACTGCCATTAATACTCAGTTACTTGAAGCGTTTGCTGAAAAAGGTTAAAGACTGCAGCCCTTAATGCCACGGGACCAAGTGGCAGCATCATGATAGATGGAAAAAAGATTGAAGTTTTTAACAATTTCATCTTGCTCAGATCCAGTCAGCTCTTGGCACCAGCAGTCAACAAATCAAAAGATTAATTACTTTAGGAACTTTCCAGAATGCTAAAGAATAGCACTGTCATTCTGGGGACTAAGGTGTGCCTGATGCAGGCTGTTGTCTTCAGAATTGCTTGCTGTGCGTTTGAGAGCTGGGCAATGACTAAGGATGACAGAAGAATTGATGCCTTTGTGTTGTGGTGCTTCAGAAGAGTACTGAGGATGCCATGGACTGCCAAGAGAACAAGCAGGTCTGTCTTGGAGAGGGTAAAACCAGGCTACTTCTTGGAAACAAGGATTTTTAAGCTCTGTCTAGCATATTTTGGGCATGTTGCCAGGAGGGACCTGTTGTGCTATGGAGAAGAACATCATGCTTTGGATGGGTAGAGCGAAGCACTAAAGAGGAAGACCCTGATTGAGATGGATTGACACAGTGACTGTGACAGTGGGGTCAGGTGTGTCAGAGACGGTGATGTGGGCCCAGAATATGGCAGGGTTCATCGGGTTGTTAAGAATTGTAGAGCCAGTTGCACATAGCAGCCACAACAGTCTTAGCATAAATTTTAGTTCTGTAGTTGTTATGTACTGTGGAGTCCAGACAGATTTATAGCTGACCCTCCTGTAGGTTTTCAGAGGCAGTAAATCATATGGGAAGAGATTGCCCATCTTTCTCCTGTGAAGCAGTTTGTGGATTCCAACTGCCTGCCTTTGGGTTAGCATCGCACGTCCTTACTACTGAACCACCACCACAGATCCCAATTTCTATATTTGTTGTGTACTGTCAAGTTGGAACACATACCTGACCCTCCAGTCAATTTACAAAGGCAGTAAATTACACATAAGGAGATTGCCTGTCCTTCACCTTCAGAGCACCTGGTGAATTCAAACCATGTGCCTTTGGGAGTAAAGTGCAGTTTCTTACTACTAGGCTACCAGAGCCCCCTATTGTCTACAGGAGATAAATAGAATGTGGAAGATCTTGAATGAGTAACGTAAAATTTATCACATGGTTTTTATTATTGTGTTTTCCTGCACATAATTTCAGATGCCCTAGTGCATGATTTATTTTCCACAGATTTTCTCATTTCCATTTTTCTTAATTATTGTTTACAAAGCACCTTCAGCTGCCTCTGTCCTCTGTTAGATTCTCTGGGATGTAGGATAAAGGGTGGAAAAATTTATCTTCCCACCTCAGACCACTCTTCCAGTTTTTTCAGGCTGTGATTAAGACTACTTTTTTCCTCCCATGGAGTGACTGTGGATTTAAACTGCTGAGGTTAGTGGTTGACAGGTTAAGTACTAAACTACTTAGGGGATTTTTGTTGTGTACTGTTGAGTTGGAACTGACCCTTAGCTGGCCCTCTAGTGGGTTTTTGGAGGCAGTAAATCGCATGGAAGGAGATTACCCATCTTTCTCCACCAAAGCAGCTAGTGTATTTGAACCATGTACCTTTGAGATTGGCATTTTAGCTCCTTAACTCTGAGTCACCTTAGTCCCCTCTACTTAGAGTGTATTGGTTGTTAGGTACTGTTGAGTCAAGTACAACTCATAGCTACCCTCTGAAAAAAAGATCTGAAAACCCTGTCTTTCCTGTGCTGTCCTCATTATCTCCAACAAACGAACCAACCGATTGCTGCAGGCACTTTGTCTATCTGGTTGAGGGTTTTCCTGTCTTTCACTGAGCCTCCACCTTTCTGGGCATGCCCAAAGTATGTGAGGTGAAGCTTTGCCATCCTTGCCTCCAAGGAATCCTCTGGCTTTCCTTTTTCGAAGACTTATCTATTTATTCTTTTGGCAGTCCATTGTTGACAACCCTTCTGTGAATATATTGGATTAAAAAAAACCAAAATAAAACAGAAACTACCTCATTGCCTTAGGGTTGGAACCAATTCTTAACTGGCTCTCCAATGAGTTTTCGGGGACGGTGTATATTACACAAAAGGAGATTGCCCGTCTTTCTCTTAAGGAGGCTCCGATGGGTTTGAATGCCAAAGAGACACCGTCTTTGGGTTAGTAGTGTAACTCTGACCCACTAGGCCGTTGAATAAAGAGAACATGTATTAAGCAAATTTAGTTTGTGTCTCTGAAAAACCTTTTATATAAGCATAAGGGGAAGGAGATATATTATCATTGTGACTCTTAAACTTTTCTAAGAAATTTTAATATTCACAATTTTTTAAAAGAAATTTATCCTACATGAATTTGATCATTTGAAATAGTATATATTTTTTGAAATGTAAGAAGTTGTTAATTGATTGATAATCTTTTATTTTACTATTTTTTGGGCATGCACCGTCAAATCAGATCTGACTGGTACAAGAGGAGATTGCCCCTCCTTCTCCAGCAGTGCATCTGGTGAATTTGAACCTCTTACTTCTGGGATTGCAGTGTAATTGGTAATCTTTAATAAAATCAACACAATAAAGTTATTTAAGTACCAGGTTAGTACTAGACAGTCTACATGTTAATCTCATTTAATCCTTGTGGAAGAACAAAATTTAAACTTTGAATTCAGTGTGTTTTCCAAACATCTGCTTATAAATTAGAGATCTAGGGATTATGTGTTTAATATTTTATATTTTAAGACTGAAAACCATACTTAAACCAAACGTCAGTGTTTTATAAATGCACATTTCATGAAAGTTTTTCTGATAGTTGACTCTTATCTTTTTACCCAGGAGACTAGGTGTTAGAGTGAGCATTGAACTACAATCAGTTTCTAATCCACTTCACAGAAAGGTTAGTATTTTTTCCTTTTTGAAATATAATAATTTTCATACATTTCAGATAATTTTGTTCTTTAACCTTTTTTGAGACCAAATTATTTTCTGCTGTCTGTGTTGAAACTAGGTGTTTTCAATAATTTTTTGAGGTAATACAGATTTTGTATAATTAAAGTAAAATCCACTACCAAGTTAGTCTTTATAGGAGGAGACTGGCCTTCTTTCTCCTTTGGAGTAACAGGTGGATTCAAATCAGACTTTTCAGCTAGCAATCCAGTACGTTATATACAACATCATCAGAGCTCTTTTTTATATATATAAATAATTAGTGAGATAGCTATGTCCTAAAGGGCCTTATATGCTGGGTTTAGTGGAATGAGGCCTATATCTTCAGATTCACACCATTATACATGCCCCCACCAGATTATAGCTAACATTAACAGTGGGATAGCTGCCTCGCCCACCCTAAACCTAAGCAGCAGAAAATATAGATGAGTAATGCATGTTCCTTGAGTTAGAAAGGCTTAAGAATATGGAGTTTTTATTGTTGCATCATTAATTCGGGGCCATTTTATAACTTGCAAATCTGGGGTGGTATAAGCTACCATAACAGTAACTAAGGGTTTTGAGGCCTGTTGTTATTAAGTGCTATGGAGTGGACTCTTAGCAACACAGTGAAAAACAAATCTGAGACCTTTCCTATCCTGTGCCATCCTTATCATCCCCAAAATGCTTGAGCCCATTACTTCAGTTATTGTATCAATCCATCTTGCTGAGGATCTTCCCCTCTTGCTAATCTTCCACCTTTCCAAGTATGATGTCCCTTTCTAGGAATGGTGCATTCTGGTTGTACTTTCTCTAAGACATGTTCCCAGTGTACTTATAAATTACTTGAGGAGAAAAAAAAATGGTGCACGCGCGCTATGCCATAAAATTGCATTTTATAAAAGCATTAAAGTTGAAAATAATTTGAAGTACTGAAGGAAGATGCTATTACTTTTTACATCTTTTAAAGAGAGATTTTTTTTTATCATTACAGTGTATGCTACATATGAGTCAGTAAGAGAACTAATGATGCAGTATAAAGAACTAAGAAATAGTGTGGCCTATAAACTACCAGAATATCTAAACTTCAGACTATCTTATTTGGCTTCTCCAACCCCTCATCTACTGTAATTGAAATATTTGTACGTTTAGACCTTTTGTTGCAAAAATACTGTGACCACTTACCTTTTAGATTGTGGGTTAGTAACAAACCAGAAAAAACACCAAACTTGTTTTCATCAAGTTGATGTATTGCAACTGTGTAGAACAGGATAGAACTGCCCCCAAAGGGTTTCCAAGGTTATAAATCTTCACAGAAACAGACTACCACGTCTTTTTCCTGCAGAGTGCTGGTAGATTTGATCAGCCAATGTTTGAGTTAGTAGCGTAGCTTTAACAACCAGGGCTGTTCCTGTGTCACAACTTTTTTTTTTTAACCCAACTTTATTTTATTGTAATTTTACAAAAGTTTACAAAAAAATTGTATTTTTTTCCTTGACATTGTTGCTCATCCCTTCCCTTCCCCCAGTTACCCTTTTTGAAAATTTATAAATGTGTTGTTGTCGTCATTATAGCACATTTTCTTCCCTTCTCCCTTCCCCTATCTCACTGAACTATGCATCCCTTATTCCAGATCATTGTCATATATATATATATATATATAAATGCCTAATCATATATTCTTTTAGGCCAGTTCTTCCTTTCTTCTGTTTTACTGCATTGTTATATATGCACTCTTTTCCCATTCTCTGCCCACTCCTGTCAGTCCTATTCTATAATAGAGGTGTTATACAGTATTTGTCCTTTTGTGATTGAGATACTTCATTCAGCATAATGTTCTCCAGGCTCCCCCATGTTGTGTAATGTTTTATGAATTTAGTTTTCAATGCTGCATAATATTCCATTGTGTGACTGTACCATAATTTTTCTATCCATTCGTTTGTTTTGGGGCACTTGGGTTGCTTCCATCTCTTTGCTGTTGTGAATAATGCAGCAATAAATATGGATGTGCAACTAGTAATTTAATTTAATTAGTTAATTAGTTAAAAGGCAGCACGGAATGACAAAGCAAAATATTACAATAAAATATGCTAGAGTCAGAAAATCAAAAGGGCTGAACTCGTTCAGCATTCCTTTTTTTGGTTGTTATTTTTTAATAATTTTTATAATATTTTTAGGAAAACTTACTTTTTTACTTCTGTCATGATGTAACCAAGACAACTTTATTTTTTTCTCTCTTTTTTAAATTATTTTATTAATTGTAATGTACATTTACAGAGATTTTGGGTTTTCTTTCATTTGTTGTTGCACTGTTTTCTACCCTCCTCCCCAGTTTGTTCTTCTTCCCCCACCCTTGAAAGTCTGTTTTGATTGTCCAATTGCCACGGTGCTTGTCAAAGCCAGTTCTGATTAATCTCCTTTGTCAGTGTGTCCTTTGCCATTCCCTATCACTCCTCCTTGACAGAGACTTCACCCCAATTCATAAGGAAAAGGGGACGGCGTATTCTCTTAGCTACTTCCTGCTGAAAAGGGATGCTGTACATTTCAGGGTAAAGATCTTCTTACTACTCTAAAGGGCCCCTTTGGCAATAGGAAACACATAGACTATTATGGAGATTGATTTTGGAATTTAGATGCATTGTTATCAAATGTGCTTATCCATACATGTTCATATCCTTGAAGATGTATCATGGAAGTGTTGCAAACTCGAAGACACAAATTTAACTAACAAGTTAAAAGTACATGAGTCAAAAATTAAAAAGCAATACTATTCCAAGTAGAGGCTCTAATAGTGACACAAATCAAGTTCCAGAGGGAAGGTAGTTCTTGCAATAAAAGGCCTATTGACTATCACTTTGTCTATTATAGTATAAAGGTTAGAAACCACAAGATGTAGAGGCTCAACTATGTCATTTATTGTTCTTAAGTCCTGGAGCAAATTCCATCTACCACTGGGTTGTTTTACAACTCAGAAGTCTGCACGCAAGGCAGAGGTGAAGTAAGGAACTGCTTGTGAGGTTTTCCGTCAGTTCCAACAACTAAGAAATAGTGAGAAGAGTTGGGACCTCAGAAGGCTTTTAGGACCAAATAGTAGGCTCTTGTGTCCAGGAGAAAATGAATATACTTACCAGTAATGTTAATTCAGCATTTCTTAAGCTCAAGGAACTGAAGAACAAATTCAAACCTCGAGTT